TTTGGGGTTGCTGTGAGTTGTGACGCTACAGCACTCTACCAAGGGTAACACAGTAAGACTCTGTCTCAAAAAAAAAAGTGTATTCACACAAAAAGTGCTTACACACAAGTGTTCTTATCAGTATTGTTCATAGAGTAAAAACAAACCAACGTTCATCAACAGATGACTAGATAAATAAATGCATATAAAGGACTATTTTTAAGCCATACAAAAGGAATAAAGGGGTTAGACATGCCTGTAATCCTAGTATTCTGGGAGGCTGAGGTAGGGGGATTGCTTGAAATCAGGAGTTTAAGACCAGCCTGGGCCAAAATGAGACTGAGACTCTATCTCTACAGAAAATAGAAAAAACTGGCCAGGTGCAGTGGTGCATGCACATCTGTAGTCCCACCTACTTGGGAGGCTGAGATAGGAAGATCCCTTGAGCCCAGGAGTTTGAGGTTGCTGTGAGCTGTGATGACACCAGTGCCCTCTAGTCTGGGCAACAGGCTAGAATTAAAAAAGGAATGAAGTATTGAACATGTTACAACATGGATGAATCTTGGAATATATTATGGTAAGTAAAATAAGCCAATAACTGAACTTCACCTATTATACAATTCTATTTGAAATGGAATAAAGTATCTAAAAGAGGCAAATCAGTAGCATCTGAAAGTAGAACAGTGGTTGCCAGGGGCTGGGAACTGGGCAGTGGACAGTGATCTGATGGGTATGTGGTTTCTTTTGGGAGTGATGAAAACGCTATGGAACTAGGTAGTGGTGAAGGTTTCACAGTTTTGTAAATATATGAAAAACTATTGAACAGGAAAAGGCCACAGAACAGTACTTTTAAAAGGTGAATTTTACGGTTTGTGAATTATCTCAATATTTTAAAAGGAAAAAAAGAGTTGAAGCAGTCTCCCTGTTTCTACACACTCTTCCAAGATAACCTAGAGACGTAATTCCAAGAATTTTTTTTTTTTTTAGGATACATTAAAATTTGGTTTAATATTTCTTTGTGGCAAAAAAAAAAAATCACATTTGTAGTGAACGAACAACACACATTTTTAGGCCATTGTTTTTAACTACCATCCCAAGAATTCATAAGGAAGAGGCTCCAGTAGCTCAGGGAGGCATCTTGCCATTGAATGTGACAAAACACTGACTTTTGAATTCATGGGAAATAGGTTCCAGCACCTTGTATCACTGTTACATGGGGTCTAATTGGTTATTCTGTGTGCTATGCTGTACACTTATTATGTCACGAGCTCATGGAGAGTAAATAGGTTCTTGTACCTAAAAGCATGGGTCCACTGGTACTCCTGTGTGCTATGTCATGCTTATTATGCCATGAATTCACAGGGAATGGGTTCCAGGAGCTCAGGCTCCTTTCCGTTGGTTCTCACAAAGTGG